TGAAATATCCTGTAATGAAGTTGTTTTTTTAAATCACTATAAAGTTTTCCCTCTTGCAGCTCTGCCCTACCCTAACTGGGTTACTGTGGGAGGTCACTAAACTGGTAGAAGCATTGGTTCCTTCACTGTAAAATGGGATTAGGAAAACCAAGGATACAGCACTGTTAGAAAAGTATGTTGTTGTTGTTGTTGTTGTTGTTAGGTGCCATTGAGTTGGCTCCAACTCCTAGTGACACTAAGGACAAGAAAACAAAGCACTGCTGAGTCCTGTGTCCTGTGTCCTGTCCCCTCCCCTCCCCACAGTTGTCAAGTTGCAGCCCACTGTTGCAACCACCATGTCAATCCATCTTGTCCCAGCCTTCCTTACTTTTGTTGGTCCTTTACCAATTAGTATTTTTTTTTCTCAAGGTCTATTCTCTCCTGATAATGTGTCCAGTGTACAAGAGAGATGAAATGTCTCCATTCTCAACTTCAAGGATCATCCTGGCCGTACTTCTTCCAAGGCAGATTTAAGTTTTCTTCCGGCGGTCCCCTGCCCTTGCAGCATTTGCTGCCTAGACCATCATTCAGTTTCACTGATCGTGCCGTGGTCTTTCTTAGTCACTGCCCAGCTTTCACATGCATGTAAGGGAATTGCACAATGCCATGGCTCAGGTGAGGCACCGGTTAGCCTAAAAAGTGATGTCTCTGCTCTTTACCACTTGAAAGAGGTCTTGTACAGTAGATATGCCCCTGCAACATGTCATTTGATCTCTGATCTGCTTTTTCCATGAGCATTGACTGTGGACCAAAGTAAATATTTAGCAATTTCTTTGCTCAATTTATCTTTGATAAATTCAGTCTTTGCTCAGTTTATCATGGTGCTGCCGCTTGGTCCAATTGTGAGGATTTTTGTTTTTCACACTGAGTTGTAATCCATGCTGCATATTTTGATCATCATTAGTAAGTGCTTCAAGTCCTCGCATGATTCTCAGGAAGCAAGGTTCTGTCTCCTGCAGATCATAGGTTGTTAATTAGTCTTCTGCCAATCTTCAGGCCAATTCTTCATACAGTTCAACTTCTTGGATGGTTTGTTCAGCAGACAGTTTGAATAAGTGCGGTGAAAGGGTACAGCCTTCACTTGCTTGCCTTTAAACCTTGCACTATCCCCTTATTTAGTTTGAATATAAAAATCATAGAAGCCCTTATTAAACAAAAAATGTCACAACATGGAGTTATACTTTCTCGACATATCTTCCACCTAGGTCGCCACATGTCTAACAGCAGTGTGTCCAGTTCCTTGACCCTCCCCCCAAATGTCAATGTTCTTTGCATTTTGGCAACAAAAATAAGGCTGAAGAAGTAAGATTGGAGCTGTAAAGTGAAATGGGTAAGGTTTTCAAAGGAAATTATCCTAGGACAGTCCTTATTACCGTCAAAGAATGAGCAGATACATCGTTGTGATGGGGAAAAATTCTTCCAGGCATTTTCCACACAACTTTCTAGGCCTTTTTCTCACCAATGTAGTTGTCAGTGTTCTTAAAACTTCTTTCTAGGAAGCCCATATGGCCATCCTTTGACCGTCAGGAAAAGCTATCAAGATGATTGTAGCAACCCGACCTATATATAGAGCTTCCAAGAGTATAAATCTTTATGAGGACAGACCACCTCATCTTTCTCTGGCAAGGTTGTTGGTGGGTTTGAACTGCAGACAGACTGTACTTAACAACCTAGTGCTTGCCCACCAGCACCACGAGGGCTCTTAAGACTTCTGCTTCCCCAAACCAAACCAAACTCATTGCTATTGAGTTAGTTCTAACTCAAAGATGCTTGGGAGCTCCCCCTCCCCCAAACAGCCCCAATAACCTGCTGAGCAGACCTCTCTGCCTGGAGTCGAACCACCCCAGCAGATCCCCTTGGAAGCCGCTGTTTCTTGAAGACGCCTGAGCAAGACTAAAGCAAGGATATTATTGAGAGAACTTGTCTGCAGCCATTATTCACGGAACACAGAAACATGTTTTAATGTACCTTGTCTGGAATAAACGTATGCACATGGGACCTGGACCTCTGCTGGCACTACTTTTTGACTGATCCCATGTAGAAAGTCCTCTGGGGACTAAAAGTTTCTGTCAGCAGTAAGCTGCCATTGCTCTAATTCTGTGTTTCCACTTCACCGTGGTACGTGAGAACATCATGAATACTGAGCTCATGGAGCCTCTGCAAACACGTGAAGAAGGTCTGCTATCCAGAAGGTCTTGCCATCGGAGCGTGTAGCTGAACCCTCACATTTTTTCTGCAATGCCTTTAGGCAGACCCAATGTTAGAGTTCATAACTTAGAGCCCAGTTATAATTGTGCCTATGTGCTCTGAAAGAAGGATTCCTGGTAGTGGAGTGTGGTTAAGCCAAAGGTAGTCTAGCTGGTAGCCTAAAGGCCAGCAGTTCAAACCCCCCAGCTACTCCATGTGCTTCCATAAAGATCTGGCAGCTTGGAAACTCTGTTCCACAAGGCCCTTATGAGTGGGAATTAACTTGTTTTTACCAGGAGCCTGTAAAAGTTGGGGGGGGGGGATGGAATGACAGGACGATGGGATCTCCCACAACCTTTGTATGAGTCTGGGTACTTTAGAGAAACAAATCCACAGCAACTCATGTATAAAAGAGAGTTTTATATAAAGGTTAAGTGAGCATCAAGAAAATATCCCAACCCAGGGCTGCCCAAGCCCACAAGTCCAACATTAACCCATATGTCCAACACCAACCCACAAAGTCCTCCTCCATCTCACAAACAGACGCAATGACGCCGACTGCAGGAGGAAAGCCGGGTCAGTGAATGTGTAAGCATCTCAGTGCTGGCAGGGGTCTCCATAGGGCTGCTCCAGCACCCAGGCCTGCATTGGGGTAGGTCCATGTGGCTTCTCCTTGGGGATGTCTTTCAGGAAGTCAGCCTTGCAAGCTGAAGCTGGGAACTGCTAAGGCTGCTGCACCCTGGTCCGACCATCAAAAGCAAGAGACCCGAGAACTCGAAAGGCGAGGCTCACCAAGCCATTTATCCCTCCGCCCTTCAATTAATCCCACATGTGTTTATCGGCCAGGTTGGCAAAATAAACTAACTAACTCAACCTTTTTGAAGCACTCTCCTATATTGAAGCTGGGTGTTCAAGTATGGGTTCCCAGGTGCAGAACAAAAAGGAGTCCTGGCGGCAGAAGGAAGAACCTGAGCAAAGCCTCAGATGGGAAAGCCTTGTCTTGGCAGGATGAGCCCCAAGGACTGCCTGCATGGTAGGGCAACCTCGGGAGAAGAAGAGGAGGCTGGCAGGAAGGTGGAGCCGTATCTGAAGGCCCGAGTGCGCCATCCCGAGGCACTGCCATTATCCTCTGGGTAATGAAGTCAGGTGATGGGCATGACCACGTCCATTTCAGAAAGATCATTCTGGCAGAAGCATAAAGAAAGATTTTTTACAACGTGATTTATGTTCCCTGAAGGTTGAGTTTTTGATTCATTGTCTATTAGGGGTATTTATGAGCTCTAATGGACTACAAGACTAATGGACCTTGGGTGCCCAGCTGAGGAGCTTTCATCTTACACTGCGGATGATGGGGCGCCAGTGAAGGATGGGAAAGAGGGCGGAGACCTGGCCAAGTCTGCCAACGCGACAGAAACCAAAACAACCGTGTGTGGTGCGAGTCTTTGCTTCCGCTTAGGCTTTTTCGAATATTGGAAAGTGGCGTGAAGACCCTGTGGCGACCTTGGGGAAAGGCAGGGTGGAGATTTCTGGGCTGGATGATTTCTTAGCTCCTCTCCAGCCCTGACAGCCTCTGGTTCTGCACCAAGAAAGGCAAAGGATTGCCAAAACGTGTAATGCATCGCCGTGTCAGACTTTGGGATGATCTGCTTCTTAGGGTTTTCCACACCGCTGCTCCCCTTCATTAGTGGGGATAATTGAGAGTTGACTGCAGTCGTTACTGCTGTTGTGATGGGTATTTGAAGCTAAATTCCGGCAGGCAGGAGATGTGTGACTATTTATCTCAGCTGCAGAAAGTTAATGCAGTGTGGCATTAATTACCCTGTCTGAGCCTGCTGTCTTCTTCTGTTTGTAGGTGCCATGCGCAGTTGGATAAATTAGTTTCCAAAATTAGAATAGTGCAAATTGTAGGGTGAGATCAAGGCAGCCTGACTTCTTAGGGCAGCCTAAAAGAAGAATGGGCTGAGAAAGTACCCAAGAAAGATCAAGAGGCAACCTGGAAGCTCAGTGCGTGCAAAATCAAAATGACGACGTTCCAGCATCCACTAATGCCAAAATAAAGCAAAACCAAGAATTACCAAGCCAGGCCATTGTACCTCATGACGAACTCCGTGTGTGTCTGAGCGAAAAGCGGGCTCGACAGGGTTTTCAGGGTCTAAGGGTTAGCAGCGTAGTTTTTCCCTTTCTCTCACTGAGACGTGTGCATTGCCATCCCTGCTTAGGTAAAAGCAAAGAGCGGGTTGAGACAGAATTTCAGGGCTCTCCAGTGGACATCTGGGAAATGGTGTCCAAAATAGGCACGCACACTTCTCTCATGATCGCTGTTTCCATTTCCAGAAGGCCTGTGGCTGCCATGTGCTTCAGTAGGTGCTTTGTACACGCTAACCTCTTGTTCTCAAGGATTCTGTAAGACAAACAGCACTAGGACCGTGTCCTGGTGGGGGCAAAGGAAACTCAGAAAGTATCTTCCCCACGCCTCGCAGCAAAGTAAGCACAGTGTCCAGCTGTCACGACTGTCTCGTGCTATGTGTGTCCCCACCTGGGAAGTCAGTCTGAGCTGGAAAGCCAAGGACAAAAGGGTGAGTATTTCTCCTTGGTGGTCAGAAAGGTTGCCGGCAGGGTATGCACCATGGTCAGCACCCATCCCCAAATAACCCAAGTTCATCCATCATAAGCTGCTCCCTTTCTGTCCTACCTCCAAACCCTCCTCCCCAAAGCTGCCTCAGGACACTGCCTTCCGGCAGTGGGCGGACCTAACCCTGTCGCTCTCTCCGCAGGAGTCGGAGCCTCTGTATGCGCAGATCAGCAGGTCGCGGACATGAGCATCGATGCGGGCTCACGGTGGGGCTTCAAGAACAGCATGGAAATCGGCATCGCAACAGGCTCTTGTATTCTTTCACTTCACCTCATCCCACCGCGAACATCAGCGAACATCATGACGCCCCAATGGAAATCGCCTCGTTCGGCAGAGGGAACTATCGGTTTTGGGCAACCCATGGCAGATAATCTATGGCAGCACACACACAAAATAAGTCTTTTTTAAAAAAAACAGTCACACCCAACATGAAATCACAAATCAAGCAAATGCTGACCCAACAAATACTCTGAGTTCTCTTAGCTTGGGTTTTGAGATGCCCCGGCGTGCGAAAGTGTAATTCTGTTTATTTCTCTACCGGTTGGCTACCATAGAGCTGTGACATTTGGAATGACAGGCATGAGAGAGTGACATCAGGGTTGGCGCTGACTTCTTTCAGGCAAAGGCAAGGGGTCCTCTGTGACCGCCGTGCCATCATCCATATGCCTTCTGACACACAGTGATGTTTCGCCATCGCACCACAGGCCTGGCCTGCCATCCGCTCCCCTCTCCTTTCTCTGACATGTTTAAAAAGTAGTGGTTGTACGCATTTTTGTATTGCTTTGGATGATTTTTTTTTTAGATATGGATGAAGGAATCCAACTGGGGGGAAACCTCACATGAAATGGATTAACTTGAAATTACAAGACGACTAAATGACGACTTGCTCATTATGATCAAAGATGTTGCCAAAACCACCCTCTCGCGATTCTGCATCGTGGTGAAGAGAGACAGTTTGGGGGTTGGACTTTGATTCTGTGATTAGGAAAGGACATTGAATCCCCGTGATGAGGAAAGACCACATCGGATTCCCTAAGAAGCTCTAAACTCTGAAGTACAATAAAATGATATTTTTTATTTTTCCGATATCTTGCTGTGATGCTATGCAGACAAGTGTCTTCTCCGTGTACCTCTCTCAAAGAAACGTCATTTTGCCAAATAATTCTGGTACACTTCCGGTTGTGTGGTTTTGGACCTTAGATGCAAACCAACAGGGAGCCAGGGGGACAGTGGCGATGTGAATATTGCAAACAACAAACTCACACCGTGGTCCACATGGTTTGTCTCTCTCTCGTTTTGTACATCAGAACACTCAAAATGGGATTTTTATTTTATAACTTGAATAAATTAAACACGGGGAAAAAAAACAATAAAAAACACCTTACCATTAAACTCTAAATATTTAAGGGAAATGGCTTTAAGGAGTTCTAATGAAAAAAAAAAAAAAGATGCCAGTTTTTGTTTGTTTCATTTCATTTCACTTTGTAAATACAAATGTTAATGAAAATGCTTTTTAATAATGCCATTACACTGTAGAGAAGGTAGCAGATTGAGTGGAAGGTGTGACAAAGTTGATGGATGGGGCTCACTTTCCAGATGTTACGCTGGAGCATATGGCAGAACGCTGGAGTTCAGGGACAGCTGGCAAGACTAGTTGGCCAATCAGCTGCTGGCAATTGGGAAGGGAGAACGGGACTCCACAGGCCAGCCTTCCCCCACGAGTACCCACCCTGCGCGGGAGCCAAGACACAGACCATTTGTATTCCGAAGGCCTGTGCTTCTACTTCGGAAACCCGCTCCCATCTCTCCACTCCCCATCCCCACCCCCATGGAAACCAGTGGACTCTTTGTATGTGAACCAGAGGAGTTTAAGCTTCCTTTTTTTTACATTTATGAGACAGAAAGAAAAAAAATACAGTTCGGTTCATATGTTTTAGCACATGATTTTCATAAAGAATCTATATATTTTTGCCCTACAGAGAATTGTTATACAGGTCAAACATGTTTTCCTGATGTTCCTATGCAGTTACAGTGTGTTGAATTTAGTGGTTTAACACTAAGAAAATGTTCAAGAATCATGTGATTAATTGGACTTGGGCCATTATTTCAGCTGGGCTTTTAAAATTTGAAAACCCAAATTTCCGTTAATGCACTTGATTTCAGTAGGGATCCTCATAGTCAATAGGAAGTCCAATGATTTGGGAAAAGGCACACTTGTTTACAAAGAGAACAGTCATGCCTCAAGGTGATTGTTAGGATTGGAAGCCCAAATTTGATCCTGTCCGTCACTGGACCACAATTTCTTTCCAGTTGGGTCTACTGACCACGCATCCATTACTGACTATATGTCAATGCCATGTTAGTGTGGAAAGGCTGAAGACCCCGAAAAGTCAGAGGGGCCATTTGCCGCCCTGTCTAGCTGTCACTGGTGGCCGATATCCTTTCTCCAGGGACACGAGCAGACTTGGTGACTAGGGAGCTCTTTTGCCTGAAGGGGAAAGTGGGAAAGGTTTGATGACCGTGGGAGTTGTCCCGAAACCCATTCAACTTGTATTCTGGGGATTTGATGAGCAAGAGAGGCAGTTCCCATGCAGAAACGGCTTACGTTACTATGTTGTCCATGATTCTGATTCTGAATAAGCGGTGCTATCTTCTCCCTCAATATGACTGTCTGGAGTTTGTATTGCAGTAGCACACCATTACACGGATTCTCTCGGTTGATTCTGACACATGTAGAGTAAGCGCTGGCTGCTACTGCTGCTGTTTCAGGGACACTGTCTAGAGTTGATGTCATAGCAGAAGGTGACAGCCCAGTGGATCTGTCATCATTCGTTGGCCATGGCTGGAAATGGAACTGGCTCTGAACTTAAAGAAGATGCCCAAGTGATGCATTCAAGTGAGGGCACATAAAGTCAAGGGTTTTGAACGGCCACGCAGGTCATCATGGCAGAATTCTGATTTTGTTCCACCAAGCACTATTTAGTGAACTCAGAACCATCATATCCTATCCCAGGAAGACAGTGACATTTCCTAACAAGAACTGAGGTGCCGGTACCAGGAGACCATGGGGAGTCTGCACAGTTCCAGTTAGATCACTAGAAAATCCATGTCTACAACTGTTGAATTCCTCATCCTTCACGAGCACTAAATTTGTCACTTTAAATTTTGAAACCAGGGAAACGCCACCTGTCATTCTGTTCCCATTCCCCATAGCTCTTCAATCTTTACATGTCGCAAGACTATTTTGATAGATCGTCCTCGTCCCACTGTCTGCTGAAACCCCATCATGTCATGTGCTGGGCACCTTCTTTAAAAAAAAATGTTTACTCTGTGGGTTTGGTTCATTTCAATTTCTGCATTCTGACACATATTTTTTTAATAAAGATGAGAAAGAGAAACTGACTGTTGCAGTACATTTCTAGACCTACTTTAACTTTACCTCAGATGACAGTGTGTTAACATATATGGACACATTATTTTTAACTTTATGTACAATGCATTCAACAGAACAGCAGAATTTTTAGAAATTTTCCATTAATTTCTGTAACACACCATGTAAAACTGGTACAATAAACATGTTTGAGAACAACAGCTTCGCCTGGTTCATTCCACAATCTCCCAAAGGCTGTCCGGACGATGGATTGGCAGAGGACGTTGCTTTGATCGAAGCTTCCACCTGGAGGCGCTGGGTGGTGCTCATAGTTAAGCACTCAGCTCCCAGCCCACCCAGAAGGACCGCAGATGGATGGCCTGCTTCAGAAGAGTCGCCGCCATGGAAACCCTCCGGAGCAGTTCTATTCTGCATCCCATGGGGTCGCTGTGAGTTGGAATCAATTCCACAACAACTGGTAAGCTTCTGTGTCACTGGGGGAAGAACAGAGTTTGCCAGGTGCTAGACGAGAGTCTGAGCCCCGCAGGGAGGAGTTAGGGTGCTGTGTGCTCAGTTGAACACCAGCGTGTACTTGCGGGCAGTACAAGGAAGGACGATGCCAGGCAGAGCAGCCCCTGCATACAGGTGGCATCGGATCAAAGTTAGCATGAGGCTTTCAAGATGGGAAGACCTCAGGAATGGTCCCTATGGATTTGTTGATCTGCACAACCAGAACAGAAACACCTGCTAAACATTTGACTAGAAAACCAAGGTTTATCTAGACTCATTCGTGTGCTACCAAAAACTCACTGCCATCAAGTTGATTCTGACTCATAGGGACCCTACAGGACGCGATAGGACTGGCCCTGTGAGTTTCCAAGACTGATGCTATAGGAGTGAAAAGCCTCATCACTCTTCCAAGGAGCTGCTGGTGGTTCCGAACTGGTGACCTTGTGGCTAGCAGCCCAACTGACTTGTAACCCACTATGCCACCAGGGCACCTGAGAGTTCACTTTAAAGTCACCTACTTGAAGGGACCCAAATAAAGGGGCATTTCTTTTCCTTCCATCACCCACATCAAATAGCCTAATGCAGAACTTAGACTTTAATAATGCATTCTTCAAGGCGGGCTCCGGGAGTGGATAGATCTGTGTTGTGTATGTATAGGGTGAGTCAGACAACATTGCTAAAAACCACAGAAAGCTTATTGGGTGAAAATATCAAAATGTGAAGCTCTTGTTTTTTAAAATGCCTTCCCCACCTATGTCTCTCTACTTCAGAAGGTGGTGTTTGTTCCATATCTCTTCCCCACAAGCATTCTGTGTTCTTCGATTTACACACATCAGAATGGCAGCTTTGGCACCCTTGAGGGACTGAAGCCATGTCCCTTACTAAGGTTCTCTGGGTTTGGGGAACAAAAATAAGTCCCAAGTGGCAATATCAGGGCTGTGGGGTAGATGAAGTGAGAGTTCCGAAGCCAATTCTCAGAGGACCGCCCTTGCCACCCTCAACGAGTGATCAGGTACATTGTGATGGACACATTTTGAAGCCACTTCCCTTGTCTTTATCGCTCCAGTGTAGTTTTCCATTTCCTGAAAACTTCTTCCCAGGAAGCCCTTGGGATGATTTTGTGGCCTTTGAGAAAAGCCTATTAAGATGACCTCGTTAGAATCCCCCCAGTCAACCACGGCCTTCTGAGCTGACATCTCTGCTTGGATTGAAGTGGCTCTGCAGGTCCCCACCGAAGCCACGGCTTCCATGGGACCCTCCTGTTGAAGCCATCCTAAGGAGCCTGGGATGAGCGAGCTCGTCGGCAGCCATCTGCTGACCACGGGGACACCTTCCAGCATGCTTTTGTTGGGCATCAACCACGTGCAACACCTCCTCGCTGACCCTCCTCCTGTCAGTGTATACGGTGGAACCTCGTTGTCATTCCCAGTAGTAACTGTGTGTCCGTCCAATCAATTCATTCAGATAACAGATTCTAAGTAGGTCATGGAGATGCCAAAATCCATCTCTTCAGGACTGGTTATGTTAATGGTTGCATGAACACATGCCCTTGATATGGCCTCGTTTACACGGAAGGTATTAAACATCTGGTATCTCCAGCGTGGAGGGAAAAGAGAGAATGGGCTTCAATTACAGCAAAATCAACGCTAAGCAGATAGAAAAACAATTTTCATACAGTAAGAAATGCTAAATCTTGGATGAAATTGCTTTTAAAAAAGGTACAAAACCTCTTCTGAATAATAAGAGTGGCTCATTTCTGTTGAACAACTGGTATATGCTCTCTGTCCACTAGATGCTTTGTGTGCATGGCCTCAGTTAATTTTCAGAACAACCAAAGAGGAGATAGTCCCCCAAATTCGTAGATGAAGAAAACGAAGGCCAGAGAGAGAGAGAAAGATGCCCAGCTAGCAAATAGAAAAATAGCTCCCTGCCATCGAGTCCATGCCAAGTCGATGCCTGTGTTTCTGAGAATGTCTTGGTTTTGGGGAGCAGAAAACCCAGTCTTTATCCCGAGGAGCAGCTGGTGGTTTGAACTGCTGACCTTGAGGTCACAGCCCAAATTGCAACCACTGCACCACCAGGACTCACTATCAAGCAGAAGAGCTGAGATTTGACAGTTGAGTCTCTTTTCCTTTGCCAGTGAGTCCATCCCCTCCCATAGGAGAGAATAGAATTAGCCCCACTAGGTTTCCACGGGGGTAAACCTTTCTGGCGGCAGACTGCCTCATCTTTCTCTGGAGGAGCAGAGAGTGAGTTCAGACTTCTGACCTCACCCCAGGGCCTAACCACTGCACCACCGGTCTGCGCCTAGAGTGGATTCTAATGTTTAAGAGGGCTGACTAGCCACATCTTGAAGTATTTGGTATATGGCTTGCTGAAAAGCATGGCTTCCTATACCTCCTCCCAGATCTCAAATAGGTTTTTGGTTAAAGGTTCAGTTTCTAAATTTTCCCAATTCAAACAAAATAAAAACCCATTCGATTATTCCTCCCCTAGGTGAGGCGCTACATACACGGTTTCTTCTTTCCTGGGCCCGTTTCTAAAAGGGTGTGTATCTGAGGGATAGAGATTAAGCCTCCTTGCCCACCTAGTTCAAGTTGAGCTGCAACCAAATACTAGTGATTTACTTTGCCAGCCTAAATGAATCTTAAAAGAAGTGACAAATTAAAAGGTGTCCTATTTAAGTGCTAGGCGGATGCCAAAATAAATCAGCCAGATGTATCTGCTTTCATTCCGTGCTTGCGAGCAGACCTGTTGTTGTTTTGACAGTGAATGTTTTTTGTTTTACTCAGAATGACAGTGGGAAAACCGCCTGGAATAAAAACAGGTTTCACTGAAATCAACCTTCAGAGCTTTGAATGTTGTAAAAGATGTTTAAATCCAAGGGAAATGTGAGCAATGGTGCCTGAAAGATTTAAAGAGGGGAGGAGGGAGGTGCGGTGGGGAGGGGGAGGTTAACAGATGTAAATGGCTTCCAAGCCTTTAGTGACCGGTTCTCAGTACTAATGTTAAAATATGAACAGTAGCTGTCACTGCTGCGACCCTGCTTTGTATATGTGCCAATCAGTTGCTAGTTATCATTTCTAACCCTCACGCAAACCCTAGGGGAAAAGACGGGCACTCCCCATTTCACAGCTTGGGAAATGAACTCCAGGTTGGGAGGAAGCAGCTTTGAAGGACCAGCCCTGGGAAGCTCCCCCAGAGTCTGCCTGGTTCCCAGGGTCTCCCCAGAAAGTGTCTGGACTCCACGGCTCTTCAGTCTGACAGGATTTGGGTGATGTTAGATCACGCAGCCTCTGTGAAGCACTTTGGGTCTTTCTGGATTCAATTCCAACTTGTGTCTATTATATTAGAAAAATCACACCATGCATTACCCTGCCTGATTTCATACGGAAATTGATTCTTAAATAAAAGGACTGTAGCTATTTTAAAACAAAGGGAAAATCCAGTTTTATTCTCAAGAACAGTAATAGCTCTAACCCAGTCCAATGAATTTTAATTTCAAAACAAAACCCTAGCATTCATTTCGTCTTCCAAGGTACAGAGATCTGAAGAGGGAGCCTTTTAAAGCCAGCTTTTCTGTTCAGCCTCTAGAAGAATATGAAGCCCGTGGCTATCAATTCAGCGGTGACCCATCGGGACCCTATAGGACAGAGTAGACATGGTGAGTAGGATTCTCTAAGACTGTAAAGCAAGGCTGGCAAGACGGGCTCATGGACTTCGGACATGCTACCAGGAGAGACCAGTCCTTGCAAAAGGACATCCTGTTTGATAAAGTAGAAAACAAAGACGGCGCTCAGCGAGAAGGACTGGCACAGTGGCTTAGGCAGGAGCTCACCCATAGTCACAAGGCTTAGGGTGGTGCAGGACTGGCTGGGGTTTCATTGTTCACAGGGTCGCTATGAGTTGGAACTGAGTCAAAGGCACTGCACACCGCCACCGCCACCACGTCCTGCATTCTACAGGTCCCTCGTGATCTCACTCCACAAGGTCCCAGCCTTGAAACGTGGGGTCGCCCTGAGTAGGAATGAACTTATTAAAGCAATCTTCCTATCAGAAAAAAGAGCCCAGGGGGAGCTATGGGTTAGGCTAACCACAAGGTCAGTGCTTCAAACTCCCGCCGGCTCCACAGGAGGAAGATGAGACCATCTGATCCCATCACGATTTCCAGCCTCGGAAATGCACCCGAGCTGTGGGAGGTGGGGGTGGGGTTGGTCCCGAGGAGTCAGGAGTAGCTCCCCAGCAGCGGGTTCTTATATTTTTGGGTTTTGTTTTCAGTGTCAAAGGAAGTGTGATCGTGTACTTTGTGCTGAATTGGTTCATTTTGAACGTCATCCTTCTGTGTCCTTGGTCCTGTGCAATGACTCTGTGGAGTGTGCAGAGTGGCAGAGAGGGATTATTATCACTGTTTTATTGTCAAAGAAAGGCAAAGAAGCGTAGACATACGCTTTGAAATATTTTCACAGGAAAGTTTAAAGCAAAATAGCCTATGGATTTATTTGCGTAACAAAGATTGATTAAGGGCTTGCTGTGTGCCAAGCCTGTGATAAGCACAGAGATTCCTGGTTTGGTTTGGTTTGGTTTGGTTTCAAGACATCATCCTTGCTTCAAGAAGCGCAGTTTCTAGAAGATAAAGAACAGATGAATAAAGGCCAGTAGGAGTAGCCCTGGAATCAAGGCCCAGGATAGTGCTGTGTAGGCGGTGGGGG